GCTGCGCTTGCGGGGGCCGGGCGAGGTCGGGCCCGGCAACACGCGTGGTCCCAGTCCTTGCAACGCACGCGGTCCCAGTCCCTGCTGGGCTCAACTGCGCTCCCACACAGTTCCCACTCGTGTCCTCCCGCGCCGCGGCTCTCACTCACCGGCGGCGCCCGGGAGCCTTTTACAGTCCTTATATTTGCATAACAATGGCTCCATGACGCGCGAGCCGGCGGGCCGGCTATTGGGCCATTGCACGTGAGGGCGGGGCGTGGGCGATGCCGGGGGCGTGTCCCGGCGCGGTGTATTCCGCGGCAGGGGGCGCTGGTCGCTGGAGGCGCGAGTCTGGGAAGCCAGGTGGCCGCGGGGCGCCCACTCCGACGCTGCTACCGCCTGGATCCGCTCACCCTGCGCCTCCTCCTCCCTCCGTCGTCGATCTGCCCACTCCAGCCCCTCCAGCCACCCAGGAAATTCTGAGCTCCCTGCTCAGTCGAATGCTGGTGACGGCCACTCCACGAAGGGCGCCAGCTTGTGGCCCTCCACTACACTGGTCCTTCCAGCGCAAGGGCAGCTTCCCCCAGAGGCACGCCCAGTCTGTTTGGCTTCATCACATTGACAAGAGGAGCCCCAAGCCCGCAGACATCCCGGGAAGGGGTTCCACTCTCCTCTCCAGATAAAGCCTGGGCGGTGGGGGCGGGGTCAGGTTCTCAGTGGAAGGCTGTCTTTGGACCGCAGTACTGGCCTCTTTGCTGCCCAGCCCCTGTCTGCATGTAGGAGGCACAGAGATCTGGCCAAATGGGCAGTCCCAGGTAAGGCACTCAAGATTGCCTTGCAAAGGAATTCTGAAATTACTCTCTCCAAACTGTAAAGCCAACTGATTTTTTATTGACTAGCTCTAACTGACCTAGAGGTGCTAGCCAGGGATGCAGCACTGCCACATTTCCTCATTAGGGTTTTCAGTTTACAGCTCTGCTGTGGTCTCTGGGAATTAAGGAGGAATCATTCTCAGATTCTCAGACTTGCAAAGCAGGAGGCTGGGGCACGCTGGGGCTTGAATTCCTTCTGAGGCCAGGCCAGGAATTCTTTGTTTTTGGTGGGGGTGGGGGGGCACTGGGGATTGAGCCCAGGGGCTCTTTACTACTGAGCTAAAGCCTCAGCCCTTGCTAAAGTCTTGCTAAGTTGCTGAGGGTCTCACTAACATTCTGAGGCTGGCCTCAAACTTTTGATCCTCTTGCCTTCACCTCCAGCAACTAGGATTATAGGCCAGCAGGCTGTGCCCAGATTAGAGCAGGAATTCTAAACAGGCAGCTCTGGGCCTCTCCAGGAGAGCTGCAGGGCTCTCCTAGGTGTCTGCCCAAGTATCTGGCTACTCACATAGGTGTGTCCCCACCTTATTCTGTCTTCTGGGGATGGTCACAGCCAAAGTAGGAAGAGAAACTGGGCAAGTGCCCATCTCTGTCAGACTACTCTCAGGCCTGACCCTGGCAGATTTGACAGGGTCTTCTTGGTGGCCTCGGGACCTGAATCCCTCAAGTGCACAACTTAGGACAGCTCTGGTTCTCCTGAGGTCCCTGGTCCTTCTGGCTCTGCTCCCCTGATGTTGCCCACCGGGCCTCTGCATTTTTACCAAGAGCTCTTGAGGTGAGAGGGACAGTGCAGGTTCTCTGCACTGTGCAGGTAGCAACATCAAGGTTCAGGTGGGGACGCTGTCTCTAGCTAGCATCTTGGTTTCCCAAGGAAGGCGGCTGCCTTGTAGCTGGCAACTCGGTTCTGGCTGGTGGCTGCACAGCAGTCCAAGGGCCGAGTGTGGACGTGTGCTCCAAGAATGTGCCCAAGAAGGGTGGACTGCCTTTTGGTTCTTTATTTGCCCATCTGCCCAGGGCCTGGTGACACTTGACTGGAGGACATGGAGGGCATGTGGTAAGGGGAGCCCATGCTCTCACCAAGCCCAGGTGCCCTGGAAGGTGGGTGGGTTCCCATAGAGGCTCCTGCCCAGGTGGGCTCCTGCCCAGCCTAGAGAAGGGCATCTGAGACACTGGCAGGAGCAGAGCCTGGGAGAAAGGTCCTGTTGACATCCGCGGCCTCCGGCAGACAAAGGGGCCTGTGTGAGCTCAGTGTGGGAACTTGAGGCTGCCGCCTCGAGGCCATGAAATGGCCGGTGGCTCTGGCGGCCCTGGCAGGGGTGGTATGGCTGGTGTAGGAGCCCTGCCTGGTGGGAGCCTACTCTGAGGTCACCCTACCATCGGTCAGGAGTAAGGCTGATAGATGTGGCCTGGCTGCCACTCCTGTGTGGCTGGGCACAAGCCCACACCCTGGCCACTATATGTTGCTCAGGTGGCCAAACCATCCTCAGGCTCCTGTGGGAATACCTGGGCTGGGCCCCTCCACTGTGGCTGCAGGGGGATTTGCTGACTCTCTGGCCTGGCCCCACCTCCTCCTCCTTGAAATGGCCCCATTTGAGAAAGAGATGTGGGAGGACTGTGGGGGCACCGGCCCCTTGTAAGTGCTGCCCAATTGTTTGCTGATGGACACGTCCAAAAGGTAGACATTTGTTCCAAATGCCATTAGAGAGAAGGTATGGAGGGGACCCACTTTGTACCAAGCAGACTCAGAGAGGACCCAGTGCTGATTTCCTGCATCTGTGATCCCTGCCTAAGGCCTGGAGAGACCCTCCCACCCATAAAGCTGGGCACTGCCCAACCTCCCTGCCTGATCCTGTCAATGCTAGCCCAGGGGTGTCCTGCCCACCACTACCCACCCCCAGAAGGCACTGGTGGGACCCTGTCTCTCTCCAGGCTCCTCTTTCCTTCCCAGGGGGCTCAGAACAGTGGCAGCATGGGGAACATTCTGGAACCCAGCCGGAGAAGTCTGGGCAGGGCAGATGGGGCAGTTTAGGAGGGCCTGGGGGAGGACAGTGCAGAAGGGGCAGCTGGCCAGAGCTAGGCCGAGGCCTTCAGCCACCTTAAAGGCACTGAGCAGGGGAGGGAGGCCAGCGGGCAGTGGGGGCGGGGCTTCCAGCTAATTCATTAAAATGTGTCGGGGAGCGTGGGAAAGAGGAGAGTGTTTCTTCCCAGCAGCCCAGACACCTGGTAAAAGGGCTGAGAGAGGATAGGAATCAAATAACAAACACCAAACCCTGGCCAGCACCGGCCAGAGCGGAGGAAGGACTCGGGGCAGGAACTGTAGCAGACAATCCCTGTGACCGGGTCTCCTGCTCACCCGGCTGGCCACTCAGCACACTGGCACCAGGGGCCACAGCCTCCCTGTCAGCCTGGTGACTGTCCCCAGCACAGGAGGCAGCCTACTGCTGACCTGCCCGCAGGGCTGGGGAAGGTGCGTTGGGACTGAACCTGCATGCGGGGCTTGCTGCCAGCACCTGAACCCAGAGTGGGCAGGGCAGAGCCTCAGCCCCACCGAGCCAGCCAGCGTGCAGACGCCTCAGCTAAGGATGGGGTGGAAGGGCAGGTCCTTGCCAGGAGAGTGGCACAGTCTCCTCTCTCCATAGCCTCTGTCTCCCAGCTCTGCCTCTGTCTGTCCTGGACACTGCAGTCTTTGGGTTTCAGTTGGGAGCAGAGGCTCAGGATGCAGCTGGGCTGGGCAGCAGTCAAATGCCTGCAGCTACTTCCTTCTCCTCCTCAATAAGGAGGAGTGTGGTCGGGGCTGCTCTCCCAGGATGGCCTGTGGAACTGGGGTGCCACTCTTAGAAATAGCTCCCCTTGACTCCCCTTGATGCCCCTGCCCAAGCCTCTGGTTCAGGCCCTTTGGCTTCCCAGCAGGTCTGGGGGAAGGGTGGGATTGGAGCTGGCTCTGCCATGATACTGGGTATGTCTGGGCTGGTCCCTGCCCATTTCTGAGTCCCACTCTCCCCATATGTGAAATGTGAAAAACACCACCCTATTGCCCTGAGCAGCCCCAGGCTATCACCCATAGGGGCTGCTCAGGGCAATACCTAGCCCTGGTGTGGTCAGGAACCCCAGGGAGAGCCCGACTGGGCTGGTCCAGGGATGATGTGCAGAGGTGGGCCTGGCATTGCCCAAAGCCTCTGCTCCTGGGCCCACACACCTGGGGCCTCTTGCACTGAGCAGAGGTGGCTACTCCTCCCCTGCCCCCAGGCCCTGTTACCAGGAGGCATCCGCCTAGACTCCTCAGCCAAATCTGAGCTGGTTTCCGCTGGGGACAGGAAGTAGAGGAAAGGGAAGTGTGGGGGGGTCGCATTCCTGGGGGGTGAGCAAGGAGGAGGCAGGCCCCTGCAAGACCAAGTCAGAGCCCAGGCTGCTGCCCAGGCTGGCTGCTCACAGGAACCCCTCCTGGGCCTCCCCCTCCTCCCCCTTCCTTGTGTCCCCCTACTCCCTGGGCTTCCTGCACTCCATGTCACCAGCACCCGTGAGCTCTCCAAGTGGTGGTCAGTAGTGGCCACCTGGGCTCAGCGTGGAGTAGCAGCAGCTGCCTCTACACAGTGGTGACATGGAGGTGCTCATACCCACAGGAGTACCCTGGTGCAGGCACAAATACCTCCAGCCAGATGCCTCCCTCCTGAAGCTGCGGAGCTCCTCTCCCTGGAGGGCCACTTGGGAGAGGGCCCTGGGGTCACACCTGGGCTCTGACTGCAAGCCCCCTGGCTGTCTGGAAGCTCTGGTCTGTGTGTCCTTCAGTCCCCGGGCTCAGGAATGGGCTCAGGACAGGTTTGTAGGATGCACATTAGCAGACATGAAGGAGCTGACCCATGTGGGTCAGGTATCCTGCATGGTTATCGTCTGGCTGCCCTGGCCAGAGCAGCCCTTGGAGGGGCTGCTCACTGGGCTGGAGGTTCAATGTGGCTCGCAGGGATTGGGCTCCTTCGGACACTGTGGCAGTGAGCAGTGACACAGGCAGGTGGGGGCTCCCCAGCAAGCCTGCTGGGACCTCTGTGAGCTGCAGTTGTGTGCCTTCTGTTGCCCAGTGCGGTCGGGGTGCTGGTCTGCAGGTCTGCCACCTCTAGCTAGCAGCAGGGAGGCTGGGCCAGGACAGATAGAAGCAGTACCCTGATGATTTAGCCCCCACCTTGCTCTTGGCTTGAGGCTGGCCACCTGAGCTGTGCCCAAAGTCCCTCTTTGGCAGCTCTTCCTTCTGCTTCTCCATCTACCCCAGACCCATACCTCTCTCTATCCAGGTACCCCTGGTTCCCCAGGTCACCAAACCTGGCCTTCTCCATTTTCAGCCCCCTCTGGCCACTACCCCCTTGTGGTCCACAGGGCACAGAAACCATCCCATCAGAGCACCCAGAATGAACCCTCTGCAGGGCCAAGACCCCCATCTTGAGGCAGGTCAAAGAGCTAGGGACCTGTGGAGAAGCATGTGGTCCCACAGCTCAACTATCTCCCTTGTGACCATTCTTGTTCTGGACAGCCTCCCCATCTGACCATCTAAGATGACAAGGCATGATGGGACTGTCCTAAGATGGGGCTCAGAGCCACCATGCCCATGATGCAGCTAAGAGCCCTGTCACTCACTGTCATTGCTAGGTACCCAGCTTCCTCCACTCCCACAGAGAGGGGCAAAGTGCAGGGAGCTGAGAAGCCTTGAGGCCACTGGGTTCCCTCCTTGGGGACCTCACACCTTGGGATGTTCTTGGGGCTCAAAGGTCCCTGGGAAACATGTTCTGGGCGCGAGATCTGCTGATTAGGGCTCTGGGGGCCTGAGAACCGGCAGGCGGGGGTGGGCCAGCCCATTTGTGGCGATGAGCAGATAAACCCACTGCCAAGGAGACTGTTTCGAAATCAGCCAGCCTAGGGTGAGTGGGCGGGGCCCAAGGGGCCACCAGAGACCTCAGGGTGGCCCCTGCGAGGAGGCCCCCATCTCTGCTGCAAGCACAGGGCAGATGGGCCAGGCAAGGGGTCACGGAGGCCAGTGAAGACTGTAGGAACTCTGGCCAGCAGGTGGGACAGTCCTTAGTTTTGTCAACCCTCGTCATTTTGCTAGAGAAACATTTCTTTACAGATGGTCCAAAATCAACTGCAGCCAGGGCAGGGATGGATGCAGCCCCACCCTGGCCCCACCAGGCCTCCATCTGGTCTCCCCACTGGGAGACCAGTCTGCCTGGCCCCTGCTGTTACCCTGTGGTTCTCTGTGGCACCAGCACAGGCAGGTGCTGTCCACCCCCAGGGAAGCTGAGATGTCTGAGATCCTGGGGACTGGAACTGGCAGCCCTCAAGAAGGGCTCCCCCGAGGGCATCAAGGACGGAGGCGAGAGCTACCCAGGACGGAGGCCACTGCACACCACCTGCTCCAAGGAGGGCCCTTCTCTGCCCCAGACCTCTGTGGGAAGTGGCCAGCCAGCTTGGGGCTGTTCAGGTGGGGACTGTGGCAGCAGGAAAGGGAAAGACAGGGGCCACCTAGAAGGCACACTGTGCTGAGGGTGGGAAGGGGGTCCAGCAGGGCCAGGTGACCACAGCTTTCAGCTACCTGCCTGTGACCCTGCACAGGGCATGGGCTCTTTCCCAGGGAAAGTCCCTTCCTGAGTCTCGGGCCTGAGCGGGCACTGGCAGTGTGCATGCGTGGTAGATGGGCCTGAAGCCAGGGGCACCTCCAAGTTCACTGTTTTGGTTGCTTCCAGGGCATGTGCTGTTGGCCCTTCTGGGCGATGGTCTCTCTCCTGGCCTCAGGATGCTGCCATGAATGGGTCCCAAGACCCCCTTCTAGAGACCCCATCCCTGCCCTTCACTGAAGAGCAAGTCATATGCACACAGGTGTGTCTGCATGTGACAGTATACGTGGGCGTATATCTGCATGGAAGGTGTGCACAAGTAAGCATGTGTACATGTATGGCTATGAGCAGGCTTGTGTGCACGTGTTGGTATATGTCTGTACATGTGTATGCAAGGGAGGGGCCACCAGAGAGAGCATGGGGTCCTGAGTGTCCAGGTCCTGGAGACATCTGTGCACCTCACAGAGAGAAGCATGGACCATAGCCCTGTGTGGTCCTAGGAAGTATTGGTCACATTTGCAGGCCTGGGATATTCAGGTATTGGTCACATTTGCAGGCCTGGGATAGCTCACTCCTGCAGCTGTGGGTACGGCCAGGGGCTTCACAGAGACAGGTAATGGTCCCCAATTTTGTCCCATCTGTGGCCCTGTGGGGGCAGGCCACACCACTCTCTGGGAGCCTTCCTGCCTATGCCATGGTGGCCTCTTCTTTTTCCTAAGGCCCTATGGACTCTTCCAGCTCCCCTCCCAGACCCAGAGCCTGGAGGGCAGAGCCAGGCCTTGTTCTCTGGCCAGCTCTGCTCAGGCATGGGATGCAGGGTCAGGGTAGGTGCCTTGTCCATTGCAGAGTCCACATTTCCCTCTGACACCTCAGAGGCCCCCAGCGGGGCCCAAAAGCCCACAGGGGTCAGGAGCAAAACCTCTGTGGCCTCTACATGGAGACTTCATTCAGGACAGGCCATGGGCTCCCACCCCATTGAGGTGGTCTCTGAGGTTAACCATGCAGGGAGGGGCTCAGCTCAGTGATCCTGGGGGAGGGAAGCCAGGACTGGCCTGTGCTGAGGCGTCCTGAGCCTGAGAGAGCAGTGAAGAGCCCTCCCAGCAGCCACTGGTCAAGGATATGGGTCTGAACCCCAGGATTCCCAGTGCAAGGCTGGGTGTGTGTCTCAGGCCAGCACATGGAGGGACTGGGGCAGCCTGCACTTCTGCATGTCAGACACCCGTAGGAGGCAGGTACCCATGCCCTATGCAGGGCCACAGGCTGAAGGCTGTGGTCCCCTGGCCCTGCTGGGCCCCCTCCCCACCCAGGGCCTGAGCTGAGCAATGTCCTGGGATGACACAGTGGGAGCCCCAGGGTGTGCTGTGTGGGGCGGCACCAGCCCTGCCCACACATCCTTTTCCCACGGGCCTTTCGACACCTGGAGGTTGTACTTCTGTGGCTTAGCTGTCCCTCCAGCCCTGGAGCCTGACAGGGGTTCCTCTGGGGAAGCAGCTCCATCCCTCCACCAGGAAGCCCTGACCAGGCAGTGCTTCCTTCCTGTGCCCTCCTTCCCCTCACTCAGCTGGCCCAGGCCTGGCCTCTGGGTCTGGGGGTTTCCTAGGCAGCTGTGTGGGCAGAACTGTAGGTCTGGCCTGTGGTCACTTGCAGGTCCACTGGGGAAGGTCTCTGAGAAGTTGGGATCCTAGTCTCTGCAGCTGCCCCCCTGGAGGCTGAGGTCAATGCTGTACTCCCCAGGCCACTGAGGGGACAGAGGTGTGGGGTACAGTGCAGCACAGGGTGCCGGGGCCCAGCCTTCGCTGAGTGGTGTCTGCAGCCCTCCCAGGACTGGCCTGTGAGCCTGTGCAAGGCCGCCCTCTCATGCTGAGTCACACCAGGCAGACAAACGCCCCGGTGTCGTCCAAAAGGACCTGGCCCCACCCTCGGGAACCATGGGTGCTGGTTTTCCCACGGCCTGCTGCCTGATCTGGGGCCTGCTGTCACCCCAACGGGGCCCTGGAGCCCTGCCCCTGCTAGGGCTGGAAAAGCCGGTTTGGCACCATTTGCTGCCCCCGCCCTCTGCCCCTGGCTCCCTCTCTACAGGTTGCCTGCCATGGAGGCCTCCCTGTCCATCTCCTGGACACTTGGTTCAAAACCTCACCTGCTCTGTGTAGGCAGCAGCCATAGGGCTGGGGTTGTACTGACCCTGCCCTCCTGGGCGGGGCTCATGGACAAGCCACTGTCCGGGGGAAGACATCTGCTGACACTGAGTACCAACGCTCTTCCATGCGCCTCTGCCCTTCCAGTTGGAGAGGGGGCTTCTGGGGTGAGCTTGGTCACAGCTACAGGGCTCCTGGCTGATTGGGGTCCCACACCCTCGTTCTGCCCAGCCATCCACGTGGGACAAGCAGACTCCGGTTTCAGGATGCCACAGAGTCTGGATATAAACTAGTGGGGACAGTGTGGACCTGACCAGAGGCCAAGGCCTTGAGTCCAGAAGAGCACAGCTGGGCACCTGGTTGTGGTCAGTGGCCACCCTGGTTTTTGCACCCCTACCCACCCACTCCAGTCTGGGAGCCCTAGGGTAGGGCCACCCCAGAGCCTGGACAGGAGGGAAAGGTACCTGGAGGGTGTGGGAGGGCCCAGGTGAGTGGGAGCAGATGGGGCTGGGAAGGTTCCCAGCTTCTCTGTTCCAGGGGTCTGCCTGCTCGCCTGTTCCCACAGCTCCTTCACCACAAGGTGCCAACACTGTACGGTCCTGACTCGGGCACTTCCGCCAGGGACTGCTACTGGGAGGGCCTGAGCTCTCTGATGTGCCTCCTGGGGCTGGCCGCTGGCCTCTGGGGTCTGTGGCTCCTCGTCCCTGAGCAGGAGTGAGAGCTGGACAGGTCTGTGCTCCCTGTACTGGCTATCCAGGGAGGTGTGTCCCAGCCTTCAGGCCTGGACTGTAAGGTGCATGGAGGGGCCAAAGCAGGCGAGACCACCCCTTCCACTCTCTCCCCCACTGTGGCTGGAGACTTGGTGAGATGGGAGGGCAGCTGAAGGCTCTGGGGGTCCTGTTCCCAGTTTGCTGGGCACCACGCCAGCAGTGGTCCTCCTCTCAGAGCTGAGCACAGCAGTCCCCGCCATACCACCCAGGGGAGTGACCACACTGTAGGAGCAGGGGTGGGTCACAGGGGAGTGACCAGGCTGTAGGAGCAGGGGTGGGTCAGAGTGTCTGTTCTGAGCTGTTTCCAGGAACTTCTGGTGTCCCTGTCCCAGTGGCCCCATCCCTGTGCCCTCTGTTCCAGTGCCCTCCTGTCCTGTGCTCCTGTCCTGGTACCGATCATCCTGTCCATATGCACTGTGTGTATGCCTAGAGGTGTGTCTGACCTGTGCACCCCAAAAAGTGGGCACCAGGGTGCAGGTGTGGACAGTGGAGAGAGAGATTTTCCTCAGAGTCCATCAACCCTTCCCCATGCTGAGGGTAGCAGAGTTCCAACTGGCCTAGGCCACTGGCCACTAACAGACACCACTGGATCCTAACAGAACTGAGACCCCAGGACTCACCAAGCTTGGAGGCTGAAAGACAGGGGAAGGTGGGACGCCAGCCCTGGGTCCCCCAGGACTGAATCCTGTGAGGGTCCTGTACCCTGGGGGTGCAGGGAGCAGGCAGTAGCCCATCCAGCTGGCTGCCCAGGGAAGGGGTGCACTGCTAACTAGGCCAGGAATCTCTGGGGGCTAGGCAGAGGTGACCTGAGCTGGCCTCCCACAGGATGGCCGCCCCGGGAATTCCCACAGCCTTGTTCTCCCTGCTTAGCAGGTACCTGGCAAGGCTAAGAGGTCCAGGCTCCACCTACCAGATGGGGACAATCCCGGGTTACTTGGATTTCTGCCCCACGCCCAGGCACTGACCCCCTCTAGAAGGATGGGGCAAGGATGGCAGAGACTGAGGGATCTCCTGCCTCTGAGCAAAGACACAGGTTTGCAAAACCTCCGCTGGGCCTGTGGCCAGTGCCTCCCCTCCCTGCTCCCCACTCCCACTGGGCCCAGGCCTCTTGGAGGAGCGGGGAGGTGGGGTTGGTCTGAGGTTGGGGCCTTGCACCTGGGTGGAATCGCATCTGGGGACTCCAACCTGGGAATTCCCACCCCCAGGCAGGGTGTGGAGAGGGGAATTCTACTCAGAGAGGGAAATGGGGGGCTGCTTGGAACAGGAGCTGGGTAGTATGCTCTAGACCAAGGGACCATTTCTGCTCATTTTGAGCAATCTGGGAAACAAGAGAGCATGAACGAGCAGGAAGAAAGCCACCCTTCACCCCACCTCTTGGCAGAAAAAGCTGGCAGCACCTTACATCCCAGGACACGCCCACAGACAGGACCAGCCTTCACTGGGCAAGGGCAGCTGGTCAATGCTTTTGTCAGGGAGAAGGGCCCCTGGGTGGGCGTCCCAGGGTACTTGCTGTGCATTTGATCCCTGCAGGTCTTGAGGCCCCAGCCTGGCTTGTCTACTCTAACCTGTGCTGGGAACGACCCCAACAAATGGCCTGCTTGACACCTTGGTGGACAGGAAGGAGCCCTGGGAGGAAGCAATCACACACCATCCTGCCATCCCTGTCCCAGGAGCACCTCCAGGGTCCCCAGGATGCAGCTGCACACTGGGAACTGAATAGCCCCCTCTGCACCACTTCTGACAGACCTGCTCGGCCCACCCCGAGGCTCTCAGCCCAGTGCTGGGCACCCCCACCCCATAGTTGGGCTCTAATTTGCTGAAGACAGTGCCGGATCAGGGCACTGGGCCCTGGAGGCGGGGACCAGCTGGGGTGGGTCGGCTTGCATGTATGGGAAGGTTTTAGAATCCAGAGGCTGAGCTCTCCTATCCCCACGAGGTGAGCTAGTGTCCCCGCAGTGCCCCTGGGGTCTGGAGTATGTAACCAAGGATGGCAGCCCTGGCAGGGGCTTTGTCCCTACAGCCCCTGCCCCCACTGCCTGCCCCCAGCCCAGGAAGGGCAGTTCCCATGGGCCCCAACCCCTCCCCCACCTCGTCCCTGCCCGATCGCCTTTGTGCAGCCAGGACAATGTCTCCACAGACAGAATGGGGGATGGGGAAGGGGGGATGGGCCTGGGGCTAACCTCTGTGTTGAGAGTCCCCTGGGAGGGTGGGACAGCTGGGCCCACAGTCTGCATGCACCCTGGTGGCCCAGAAGGAGGGTCTCCTGTTGCAGAGGAGGAGGGGCACGCAGGTGGGCCCTGAGCTGGCCAGGGTGCCTCCCTAGTATTCAGTGTGGTGCTAGGACTTGCTAGGCAAGTGCTCCACCTCTGAGCTCCAGTGACCTGGGATTACAGCGCTGGACACATCAGCGCTTCTTGCAGCCCAGGATACCCTGCCCGGACACCTGCCTAGGGGAAGAGGAGGAACTGCCCACTGACAGGGGTTTCCATCAAGCTCTGCCCCCATCAAGGGCCTGCCCAGAGCAGGGTGGGGAGTCCAGTCTTTTCTTTCAGGCCTGAGCTCTGAGAAGTGGTTGCAAAACAAGGGGCCTGCCTTCACTCCTGCCCACCACTGCCCTTGGCGCCGAGGACCAGGACACCCAGCTTCACCTTCTGGCTGACAGCTCCCAAGTTTGTAGCCACTGCCTCAGGACTCTGACTCCTGAGTAGCACACTCCAGGCCCATGCTGTGGGGTGGAGGCGAGAGCCACAGGGCTTGGACAGGGGCTGTCCTGGAGGCTCTGGGTCTTTACTAAAGGTACAGTCACAGCCCTCTGGGGGCGCTGAACATAAGTCTGCTAAATGTGAATTCCCCGCTAAATGTGGGACATGTTTTTATATAAAAAATTGTTCTCAGAAATTCACATTTAGCCCAAGTCTGTATTTGCATTTGCTAAAACTGGCCTTGAGCCTGCCAGGCTGAGGGGAGGAGCAGAGAGCTGAGGGCCAAGGAGGGCGCAACCTGGTCAGCTCAGTTCTCTGGCCCAAGGCAGGGAAGAGGGCCGCCCTGCTGGACCCCAGGGCCTCTAAGAACACCAGGCTTTGCCACCCAGGGTCTCCCAGCTCCCCGGAAAATGAGTCTGGCCCACACAGGACGCCTGGCCTCAGGCTTAGCCAGAGTTCCCTGCTCCTCACTCTGGAAAGTCTCGCCTCTCCAGGACCCCAGCCACCCTTGAACCCCCAGAGGCGACACTCCTCCGATTCCTGGGCTTCCTTCCTCCCCACCCCCCCTTCCCAGGGTCCTCACCCCACACTCCGTGACCAGAGCTCCCTTTCCTGCTCCCTGCTTCCCAGGACCCCCTATCCCCCCATGATTCTCGTACCACTCTCCCCACTTTCACGGACTTCACCCAACTTAGTTCAGGCCCCACCCCGCGCCGCTCCCGGGGCCCCGCCCTCCACG